AACTACAGGCACGCGCTACCACGCCCGGCTAGTTTTTGATTTATTGTAGAGATGAGGTCTCGTCAAGTTGCCCGGGCGGGTCTCGAACCCGCGGACTCAGACAATCCACTCACCTCAGCCTCCCAAGGCGCGGGATTACAGGCTGAGCCACCGAGCCTGGTTTCTTTTCTTTTCTTTTCTTTTTTGAGTTGGAGTCTCACTCTGTCGCCCAGACTGGAGTGCAGTGGCTGCTTCCAGCCACTGCAGTCTTGACCTGCTGGACTCCGGCGATCCTTCCGCCTCAGCCTTCCAAGTAGCCAGAATTACAGGCATGCGCTACCACGCCCAGCTGATTTTTTGATTTATTGTAGAGATGAGGTCTCACTACCCAGGCGGGTCCTTTTTTTTTTTTTTTTTTAACATGTGCCTCAAGATATCACTGAGAAGAATTCATTCATCAAAATAATAGACAAACATATTCCGTCATTAAACTTGGGTTTTTCCCCCTGCAAAGATAGTGCACCTGAAACATCTACTTATCCCCTCACTACTTGGACCTTATGCTTAATGTCCAGTTCACTCACTTTTTTCTGGACAGGAAATTTTCATAATTTCCCTCTACTTCCTCTTACTTTCATCAACCAGTTAGGTATCTTTTTCCTCTAAAATCAGTGCATGTCTCTACTCATAACAAACTACCCAATAACCTTTTAACTCAGTTTTTCTTTACCAATTTTCTGTCCTACCAAATCTGAGGGGACTAACATATTTCTTTCTGCCTATATTCATGGCTCACTAACAACAACAAACAGTAAGGGAGGCAAATATAAGTTTGAAAGGACTCCAGAGTAGCTCTCAAACCAGGTGAAGTGGGGACCAAAGGGAGGCCCAAACTTTTCCTGTACAATGACCACTTACCTATCTAATCCTGAATTATACCCCACATCTTTAAACTAAGAAAAAAGAAAAAGAAAGAAAAAACTGCAGAGTATCTTCTGGTACAAGCAGGCTCCACCTGACTAAGAATTGTCACTTTAGCAGCCAAATTTCTAAAAAGTGAATTTGTAGGTAATAAAAATATAAAAGCCAAAGCAGAATTGAAAAGACAAACTATTTCAGTATGTGTTTTTTTCCCCCACTGAGAGATATATGAATATTTATTACAAAAGAAGAAGGGAAAAAAAGCAAGAGCCACTGTCTCTAACTTGATATTATTTTTTAAAATTTAAGTCAAGGTCTCACTACATTGCCTAGGCTGGTCTCAAACTTTCAGGTTCAAGCAGTACTCTTGCTTTGGTCTCCCAAAGTGCTGGGATTACAGGCATGAGCTATAGTGCCTGGCCACCAACTTTATATCCTAAGGATCTCTAAGAAGTCCCCTACCCAACCTAAAATGTCTACAGCAGCCATAAATCTGAGCTCACAGTAATATCACTAAATTCTCTAGTGGTTGGTAGGATATTTTTAAAAAGATTTTAATAGTTATTTTCTTAACTTTCCAAAATAATGAAATAGTTGCTCTAACTTTGAGGTGCTCTGTGCTAAGCTAGCAGCCTGGGCCAGAGACATGATGCAGACCAATGAATGGCCATAATACAGACACTGCTACTCCTAAAGTAGGATAGAGTAGAGCTACAAAAAGCCTGAGGGCCTGGAGTTAAGAACCCTGTAGGGGAAAAGTCACTCAAAGCCTCATCTCTTACTGGACAGGGTGCAGCTGACCTGTCAGCTTTTCTCCAATTCATGCATAAATAGTTGGGTAGTTCTAAGGTGAGAACTTTTTGACTTCATTGAGCAGCTGTTAACAATGGGAACCCTCAACTGTAAAGGGTTTTTGGACCTGGTCTCCTTTAACACAAGTTTTAGGTCCCCTAATGCTATGGAGTTAACACACACGCTACTCTCTCAGCAAGAGCAGCTAAAAAAAATAAAGGGAACATCAACAGTAACTACATAATTAGAACTCTGACCTAATGATAGGAATTTGGAGAATTAACATCTTCACATGAACAGTTATTGCTTGTATCTTAAGGAACTACAAAGACCACAAACACATTACAGGTCATTCTAGACAGAACACAGATTCAAACTTAACTATATATTGAGGGGGAGGAGGAATCTCAGAAGCTGATTTCTTACACATGACAAATAAAAGTTGCAGAAATAGTGGGAGAGGGGATTATTTCAAGATTTTCCTGTATTGTCTAGGCATTAAAAAACAACACTGGGCACAGTGGCTCACGCCTGTAATCCCAGCATTTTGGCAGGTGGAAACAAGAGGACTATCTGAGTACAGGGGTTCGAGACCACTTTGGGCAACTTGGCGAGACCTCATTTCTACAATAAATCAAAAAATCAGCTGGGTGTAGTGGCACACACCTGTGGTTCTAGCTACTTGGAAGGTTGAGGTGGAAGGATTACCTGAGCCCAGGAGGTCGAGGCTGTAGTGGCCATGAACATGCCACTGCACTCTAGCCTGGGCAACAGAGTGAGACTTCGACTCAAAAAGAAACAAACAAACAAAACAGAAAATAAAACAAAAAAGCAAATTACTTCACAGACTCCACTGATTTTCTAACAGACTGGGTTACCTTATCGATTTGAGAGAAATTAAAGTGCCCCTATTAAAAGTAAATGAAGCCAGGCTCAGTGGCTCAGCCCGTAATCCCACGCTTGGGAGGCTGAGGTGAGTGGACTGCCTGAACCTACGGGTTCGAGACCCACCTGGGCAACTTGGCGAGACCTCGTCTTTACAATAAATCAAAAAATTAGCTGGGCGTGGTAGCACGTGCCTATAGTTCCAGTTACTTG